ACACATCCGACGAGCTGCGATAGCACACTGCTCATGACGCCAAACACAAATGGACTGATTAAAACAAACAGGTATTAATTGCCGAAAATCAGTCATTAATAATTATATAGCATCAGTTGCATGTATGTTTATGCCAGCAATTCGTATGTCAACAATTCATATTAATAAAATAATAATTCTAAAATACTTGGTAAGAGTGAATGATGGTAGCTTTAAATAAAATTTTTTTGTGTAAAAGATTAATGGGTTATTCCCTTCTTTCTTCAAATTTGTTGCGGTTCTTTTTCAGCGACTTCGGCCAAAATAGGCGTGTCCGTCAATATTTCAATTATTGTATCTCAGTAACATGTGAGCTGATTAGGTTGATATCAGTGTCTTTGGACTCAATCTCAAAAAATCATGCATTCCTTTTGTATATATACTCCATTTAAATATTGATTACTTATTTTATTTCCATTGTCCTTGGATTTGACATTGTGGATCACATGATCCGGAGAAGAATTTTGGTGAAAATTTTAGTCTACATGGTATCACATGATATCAAAATATCAGATATATTTGTTTGCTTTACAGCTCTTCTCAAATTTGGTATAATTGCCTCTTTTGTTTTGGTGATTTGAGAGAGATTAACCCTGATGCACTGATCCAACTTAGTAGTTACCAATAGAAGATTATTTGCTATTATATTCATACAGATTACCTTCCTTTATGAATTTTTTTAGAGATGGTTCAGCGACAATGTCGTACACGATCCTGGGCGACCCCCAGTCAGCCATTATCTCTGTGAACCAACAGGGTGTGGTAACATCAGGTGAAATTGTCGGTGAGGTGTCTGTACTTGTTGTTGCGCTTGAACGATTTGGATTGAACCAGTCGACAATTGTTCTTGTAAAGGTAAAGTTGGAATTCATACTACCTGAATGAAAATATTGATTGTTTATGTTTTTTATTATAATTATTAAATTATTTTTTTTCTTTATAAAGACCAAAGAAGGCCATTTATTTTTTCTCATACGTATCAAAAAATATTCTTCAAGTATGTAATTTAGTTACATAATATTAACTTTCATTATTTAGAAACATTCCCCACTTACCGGAATTCAGTACCGTATGTACTTGCGTATAGGATGAGGCTTGAAATTACAATTACGATTAAAAATTAGGGGGTCGTCCTTATACGTGTGACATACAAATTTTAAATTTATTAAAAATCATGTTCGTCTTTTGTACCGACCGTCCGTATTCACTCAAATTTATTGCTGCAATGAAGCTACTAAAATGTTAGTAGGCTTATGAATGCACACAATTTTGTATACATAATGTTGAAAGTAATGAATATACGAGAGTATATAATACATACGCGTCATTCAATGCCAATTCAACGTGGCTGCGGAAGTCACCATCTCAGATATGGTTTAGATTTTCAGGGTTTGTTGTAACTTTAGTAACTAAGAAAAATCCAAAATCGGACCAATACTTTCCGAGATGCCAGTGTCCGGAAAAGTGGGTGTGGCACCCATTAGAGCCGCCGGCGACGTTATTTGGATTCTTTGATTTTTGAAGTCTCATTAAGTTTTTTTCTATGTCACCTACAAAGCTAAAAATCACAGTACTTGCTCAAGTTTATGAGTAGATTCAGATTCTGCATTCATACAATTACTTATTGACCACTTTGAATTGTCATGGAATTACCCATACTCCAATTATCGAAATGCATGGCATCGTGTCGGGATTGAATCCCGACACGATGGCGTGCATTTCTATACTTGGAGTATGTATTATACTATCTTATCTGAGATTAATCATTGGACCTTTCGAATGAGTGTACGATGTATGCTTTTATTGAATATTTCATATAAGATTATTTATACTTTATGTTTGAACAGTACATGCTAGTTAATGTATTTAATAATAATTAACATAATTTATTTCTTGTTAGTTTTGTTTTGGCCTGATTATTTTATTGTTGCAATGTATATCCTTATATAAATTTAATATAATGATGTATTTGGTGATTCATCTTGTTATAAATGTAAGTAAATGTAAGTAAATTTTAGAATCTAGCTAATAGTAGAAATAGTTGATGAACTAGCCCCAAACCAAGCAAGTGACGGTCAAGTGCCTTGTTGGTTGTCTTATTGTAAATAAATGTAGGTATTTTAGAATCTGGCTAGGCTTTGTTTTGTTTATTATTTAGCTATCTGCAGAAACAAGTTGATGGTCCAATATTTTATAGTCTAGTTTGAATAGATCATTGTTATTAAACTAGGTCTAGTAAGTATTTCTAGAGTCTCATGAAGCTAACTACCAAGTAAGTTGAAATATCTGGGAATTTGTGTTTCTTAAAATTTGGCTCACCTCTGCATACCAATTTGTTTACAACACTTTATTGTAAGACGAAACCCGAGGACCCAAATTCATGCTTACAACTTCAGTAGGGTCCTTCTGGTGATGATTGGGCCGTACACTGGGAGACAATCCCCTACTCTTTTCCGAAGAGTGTACTGCATTCTTTAATGTTGCGCACATTCGCCATAAATGCACACTGGACCAAACGTCTCATCCAAAAGACGGTGCGGTATTGTAACTTGTATTTCAGCCCTCCAGCTGAAACACAAGGAGAGCACCGATAGGAATTGAACCGAGAACCTAGAGATCTCCATGGTTCAGCACACACACAGTGGCTACCACCAGATTAGCCGACTGAGTGAGCTAAGGTCCTCTCTACTTATGTGTTATGGATATGACATCACTTTTCGATCGTCTGCAGCATAGAGTAACCTGCTATAAATAGCAGTATACTCAAACATCAGCAAAAGGTATGAATTCCGACAGTGAAACAATGGTTGTCCAAAAATCTTCTCAAACTCGGGCATCGTCTTATACGTGGGTCGACTTTATACACGAGTATATACGGTATGGTTTGACTGACTCTATTTTCACTCATTGTTATAACATTAGTATAATAATTGCAGAAATAACACAAATTGATTTTTCTGTAATTTTTTTTTGGTAATACTAAGTAGTAATCAGTCTATTTGAAAAGTGGCAGTTACCAAGGTTCATGTGATAATGTATGCAATCCCAATATTCATTCTGTTATATTTAAATGCCTATAGTACTAGAATATAAATATCCTTAACTATAAATTCAGTGATTAGCTGTAATGTAAGTTGATTTTTATTTAACCAGAATCAAAAATTAACATCTTATCAATAATCACTTAGTTATAACAATTTTCATATATACAGTATATAGATTTATAATTAATGTATATTGATTGAATTGAATTAATAGGCTTAAAGTTTTGTGTTTATTATTTGTGTGGTTTGATGTTTTTTGTATATATATTTATATTTTTTCCTATTGTCTCAAAAGTATTTGAACTTTTGTTGCATTTTGAATATTTTATACCAAAAAAACAAAATAAATGAAATTAATAAATAAATAAATTTATGGTGCATTCACACTAATGATACTTGTTGTACAAAACATTAAAAATTAATATTATAAATATAACATTATTTCTATTGATTGGTCTTTGAATCAATTTCCTTAAATCAAAGTACCTAAACACGAGATCTGTCAAAATATAACTTCATGAATATTTTCTTGAATATATCAAAATGACTTGGTGTACTTTGCAGGACTAATTGTTTCCATGACACCACACATTTTTTGAAATATTAATACGCATGTTTCTGTACAAAACACTCGTAATCTTTAACTGATGACCTTTAACTCCCTGCCCCCTTCTGTAGGTCAGACCTGTGTTGTACGTCTCCATTAACTGTGACACAAAGTTGATGACAACCGACAAGCGACTCCGTGTTTTTCCAGTAGGATTGAATCTGGAGTTTTCCGCTAGTTTTTACGACAATGTTGGTGCAAAATTTGATGCAACAAATCTTGATCTTGAGCATCGTCTGAACAGGTATGCAGATTTTTGTTCTTCAATCTAGTCTTTAATATTAGACCAACCAATATCATGAAGGGAATTTTGTTTTTGTTAATAGCAGGCAACTATAGGAAGTTTATTTATTCCCATGTTAAAAACATCCATATATTAGTACCAAGATGATAATATTTAGGTTAATGTTTATTATCTATTTATGATTATAGAAAATATACTGAACATATTGGTGTTAATATTGTTTTTGTTCTTGGTCCTAACTAGGGATGTAAGTTGTTTTCACTATATGAACTTTAATTTAAAACCATGTTTTTTAAAACAATATAAAAATAAAACAATAAACTATGAGAATAAATATTAAACGTAAAGTGCAGATCTCCAATTGGAGAGAAGCCCCGGATCAAGTAAACAGTGGTGAACCATATGTGGTGCATTTGATAGAATTACTTTTACTTGACTGCAATATCAGCATTAAACTGTATATTGACTTTGTTTGAAACACCTGAAAACTAGGTAGATCATTCATGTGAGACATAACTTGCATAACAATACCTAGGGCATATTAATCAACATTCTAAGAGAGTTTTTGAAACAAACATGAAGTGAATATAAAGACTTCTCTGTGAAAATCCGCCATCAAGTTGCATCTGTAAATTGATGGAAATTCTGAATCAATTACATTTGACTGTATCAGAACACCTGGACGATTTTCCGTAAAGTATATTTGCTCTGATGCACAAGGATCTGTTTGTTGCTTGATTTTATGTTCATCTGTGCTCTTATTACACAGGATGCAACCTAAATCTACTACTTAATCCTCTAAGTTATCCCTCAAAAGCTACCTCCATTTTTGTCTGTTGTATTACTGTATCTATAGTAGCCTATATTTTGATAGTTATTTGATTACTGTTTAATTATTTTGCACCTTTTAGTTGTAAATTCCTTTTTATTTATCTTTAATCCGTATAATCATTTATATATATTAGTTTGGAGTTATTTTATTTTGTAAATTCAGAATGATATGCTTGATTGTTTTTTTTTTTTTTTTTTCTATTCAAAACCTAATCAATTAACTGGTGGTCTGTCAAAAAGTCGTCAGGTTGAAACCTGACCAACTGTACCGGTGGCCCTACTTAAGAGGCATCTTTCGATTTTTTTCAGCCTGCTGAAAGTGAAAGTGAAGCGATAACATTTTACCATTAATTTATTAGTTTCATACTGTCTATTGCCTTTGTTTTACTGTATGTATTGAGGGTCCGTAATTATCAGCTTCGGCTGATTAAAGATTGTTGAAATAAATAAATAAATACTTTACTGACACATGTTTGTTATGTCTATATTCAGATATGATCTGCTACAACTTCAACCGGCTGTTAATTCTTCCTTTGTTGCCAGAGTTGCTCACCAAGGAAGCTCCTTGTTTAAGGTATTAAATTCACAATCCTATGTGCCAGTTTCCTTTGAGGGGTTGTGCCATGGAGGGGCTGGGGTGGGTGTCAGGGAGTAAAACCACAATTTGTTGGGGGAAAGATGTATTCGTATTTTCTACATATTATTGTAAACTCGATTAAATAAGCCTTCGCAACCCTATATTCTCATATTTTCTGGGGGGCGACACACCTGTCAAACCAATATGATAAAAAAAAAATATTCTTTGCCTATCTTACCTGCTCTTGTGGGGGTAGCAGTTACTAAAATGCATTCTATTTCTTTATTATATTTTCGTTTCATAAAAAAAAGTTTAATAGTATTGCTACTGTTACAGTAAGTTGTGCATTCACACTCTGCCCGATGGTCATCGACCATCGCGATTTCTTTAAAGAACGCAATTCTGATCGTTTTTCATGATGGTTCATTAAGACAGCTGCCACGACAATCAGCAGACCGCTTCACGTATTCTAGCACTTACAGGCAGACGTAGTGAGTGCCCTCTATTATGTAATACCTTCCTTTGACACTCTCTCAAATGTTCTTTTTACACCATATTATCCTGTCACAAATAATAAAATGTTTCAATTGTGGGACAGCTTACCGATGTTTGAGTCTCATTAATGTTTTTTCATTGAAACGCTCAGGTTTGGGATCAGCGAAACACCAGGATGGAAGACTATGTCAATGTAGCTGTGGGAAGCATTATAGACTCAGAACATCCAATCACATTTGGAGATGTCCTCAAATTTACCACTCCACTTTTAACTGGTGAAGGTGAGCTATATTACTTTTACTGCAGTAACATTGCTCAAGAAGAAAAATACTGAAGTATTTTTAGCTGAAGTTGTAACTTTTAAGATAATGGAAGCAATTACCGGTTACCCTCTGATTAAAGATCTCTCAAATTATAAAGCACTGGCAATTAATTTCACAACTTAAGACAATTGTACACAAAAATGTTGATAAAAAGGGTGATTAAGATACACCCTTGTTGTGTCTTTGAAAATTCTTATAACAGTAGTCATTCCATGCCATCTTGGATTTTGATTTGCATTTTTTTTTCATTGGGAATGTAAAGAATAAATAAATAAATAATTTGATGTGTAATACAAAACAAGATTGACACCTAAATTTATATAATGTTAGTCAAAGTTATTCCTGAAGATAAATACACAACGTTTACTCTTTATAAAGTCAACTTTTATACAATCAATAACCAATTATCACCACTGATCAGGGCTTGCCCTAACTTTTTTTGGTAACTAGCCCACTGGGCTAGTTTACTAGAGATTTTACTAGCCCACAGAATATTTTACTAGCCCACAGACAGGAAAAAATTTTGTTTCAAAATATTTATTAGCGACAATTAAATTTGAAGGTTGATTTGCAATTTCATAATTTCTGTAGCATTGCTGTTTGAGCTACCCTCTCAAATTATTGTTGAATAAATAAATAAAAAAATCACCCATGCTGCAAAATCGACTCTGGTTATAACAGGGACAGAAGAGCATGTTTTACATCTCCCTGGTTATAACTTTAAAGTTATAAAAGGGCCCAGAAATCAATCAAACCAATGCATCTGTTAAATCTTTAGGTCTCAAACACTCACCCCCAATGGCAATAAATCTTGCTTAGGCTACCGAGGCTTAGACAAGACCTAGGGCCTAGCCTACCTATAGCATTGAGGTACTTATTATTAAAAGTTGGACATTTAAAAAATATCATTATGAGAAAATAATATTAATATGGTAGTACATTAATTTAAATGTTCTAACTACCTAAATTAACCAGATTGAACGATCAAACGATCTCCTATTGAGAGAAAGATAACATGCCATCCTGTAGTGGTTGGTGAATGACTTGGGGATCATCTTGATAATTAAACACTCACGCATGTGGAGAGCTGAAAGCTAGCTAGAGTGTACTCTCTGGGCTGCGGTACCTCCTGTGCAGGGATTGTCTTGAAAGTTCCGCTTTTTTTTTTTTTAAGAAAATGTTTTTCTTGCTAATTCTCCACTAGACAACCGGGCAACATGAGGAGTAAATAGGCTAGCCCGGAGCGGTTTTTACTAGACATTGTACACCGGGCTAGTACTAAATCGAGCCCTGCTGATAATGTTTAAATGACGTAGAACAAACGTTACTCAGAATAAAGAAAGGGAGGCCATGATTCGACATTTCGACCTTTCATCTTAAGGAATGAAGATTTGAAATGTCGAATCCTGGCCTCCCTTTTCTTTATGCAGAATAACGTTTGTTCTGTGTTACAATCAATTAAACAAATTTAAAAATTTAATGTTTTAAATGTAAACCGCGTAGTTGGTAAATGGTAAAATAGCAAGTGTAGTTTGTATACTGAATTTATTTATTGAAATTTTTTTTAATAGGCCAAAAAGGAACTTGGTCATCTTCTGACTTGACTGTAGTAAGAATCAACCCAGATGGTGTTGCCATAGCAACTGGCCCTGGCACTTGTTCATTGGACTTGAATCTTGCTGATGGATTTGTCACCCATGGACAGGTATTAAATGGAACAAATCAGATTGAAATTTCACCTATGAAATAATAGTTATGAAATAATGGGTTAAAAGTAAGGTAAATAAACAGTGTAGTAAGTAGTGTCATTGAATACGGTAATTTCATTTTAAATACAAATTTACATGGAGCACAACAGTCGCATGTGATGACAACATAATCAGTTGCACACAGCAGTGTAGTTATACACAATAATAATAATAATAATAATAGTAATAATAATAGTTCAATCTTATATAGCGCTAGTAGACAAGCTTGCAATGGGCTGGTCACATCTCATTTGTACAACAGAGATGTAACATTGGCAGGTTTTTGCCTGAGGGTGCAAAAATTGAGAATGCGGGACTAAATCCTTATTTCCAACGAAAACTTAAGTATTTTTAGTACTTTAGCTCACTTGGAACTAATTTTCCGTCATGGTTGGGGGTCCTGTGGCACCCCTGCCGCCTACGTACCTGTACAACACATGATCCAGGTGGAAAGTCCCAGGGAAGCAATATATATAAGAACATTTGACCCCTGGGTTCTAACCCTGAGGTAAATGTCTGACACTGAGGGTCTAAAATTGAGCCTGGGGGATGATACAGAGTGATAGGTGAACTTCATTGGAATGCAACACAAGAAAAAAAAGCCTAACCCTTGGGTCAAACCCAGGTTGTAAATCTGACCTCTGGTGTCAAAATGGTGTCAAATTCAGGTGAAAATCCTACACCAAGGGGTCTAATCTGGTGAAAAATCTAAACGGCAAGTGTCAGCCTGTCATTGATGTTTGCTAGTTTAATACAAATTTTTCATGAAGAAGAAATACAACAAAATCTACAAAAAACAGTAAGAATGTTAATATCTTTTAATCTGAGAAATATAACGACGTTAATTAATAATATTCCAATTTTTGCAGCTTTGTCTTAAAGGTTGTACAGTCAGTTTTACTTAATTTTTAGGTTACTGTGAAAGAAATTGAAAGCATTTCTATTGATACAAGTAATCTACCAACATTAAGTAATGTTCCGCAAGATATTCCCATTGAAGTTCCTGTGGATCTTGGTGGTTCTCCACAAAGTAAGTTGTTTGGCAATAATTAGGCACACAAATGTGGCCGGAAGCACGGTTCTATCAAAAGATGCCTCTCAGAACACCACTCAGAATAACCCCAAAAGTGGAACAAGGTTGTAAGAATAGAAATAATAATAATAATAATAATGATACTGCTACTGCTACTGATAATGATAATGATAATAATAATAATAATAATATTGATAATAATACTACTACGACTGCTACTACTACTACTACTACTACTAATAATAATAATAATAATAATAATTATAATAATAATAATAATTAATAATTGTTGACTTACATAGCGCATATTGTAGAGACTTCTATGCAATAATACAAGGTTGGCCTCAAGAAATGTGAGTTGGTGAACTTTAAAAAGATGACAACCTCATACAGTGATTGAGAAAGAATGTGATATCTTTTACAAAAATCAAACGCCGCTATCTATTCAAACAAATGAATGCACGCCCACATAAAAACGCACCATGTGTGTTCACACTGTACGCGACACAATAGGACAGAAAAGCTACCTACTGGCCCCAAAATTTCATTTTCCTGTTTTATAGTAAAAAAATAAATAAAATTTTATCAGTTTATATTAAAGATGTATTGTTCCCTGAAAATGACAAAAAAAATCATATAATATAATTTACTTATGTTGTAACTTTAAAATTATTAACTTTACCATAGTAATAATTGAATTTGAAAAATGTGTATTCTGATTTTTATACTGGATAATGATAAAAAATGATAATAAAGCACTTTCAGTGACAGATGTTTTTCTATCTTCTTTTATAGTTATGGGTTCATGTTGATAATTTTTATTTTTCAAAGTGAACAAGGGTTTTTTTTTTTTTTGAAGTTTTTAAAGAATTTTTTTTTTTCAAGGTGTGGAGTCCGACATTGTTAAGCAGGTAGATGGACTAATTCAGCCAATGTTTAAGTGTAGCCTGCATCCTCTACGATCCAGTACACCAGAACTTGAGTTATTCCATGTGTACCCTGCATTCAGTTCTCTAACAGGTATGATGATAGTAATTTTAATTTTTGATTGGCAATAATTTATTTCACTTTATAGTTTAGGCCTACTCTATGTAAACCCTTGGGCCTATGCTTGAATTTGTAGCCCTGGAACAACTACTTGATAATGCTTTTACGACTGCCCAATTTTGTTTCAGTGTATGAGACTATACATAAAAAAAATAATTTCTGTGTCTTTACAACAACAATATTTGTAATTAAGCTAGATTTTTGTTATTCCTTGCTTCAAGTAATTATTTTTTTGAAGATCATCGTAGGAGGGTGGAATAAAAATTTTAAAAACATGTGTTTTCTTTAAATTTAGCAAATAAGTTTTGCCAAAAACATTGAGACGGAGAAGAAAATAAAAATAAAATGTTATTGGTGAATGTAAAAATAGGATGGTTATATGCTTTTAAATTTATATAATTTGGAAGAAAGTACGTATCTTTATCTTTAGAGATTTCAAGGCACCATAGACAGTATTAAAAATTAAGAAAAATTGTTATTATTTTCTGAAATTTCCACTTTTTTGTGGGGGTGGGTTCGCTAATTGGCCTAATAATAAAATTTTATTTTTATTTTAAATCATCGATATTTGCAATCGTCGGTTTCGCTAAACAAGGTGAAAATAGTCTCGCCTATTATACTTACTAACAAATGTTATTTGTAGTAATTTGTATTTACTGTGATTTTTTATGAAGGGCTAAATAAAAGGTGGCTTTTGAAAGGTCTTTAATAATGTTCCTTTTTTGTTCCAAATGTGCTTTATTATGCAGTTATTTAGTAATCATTTGATATTTATTTTCTCCAAGGCAAGTATTCCTGCAATATACATCAACGTTCTGAGCAAGCAGTCCGATATAAATCGAAAACTGAAACCCAGATAAGCTTAAGAGTAGTTGTAGAGAGTCAGCGGCGACAGAGGGAGTTGCAGGCGCTTCCGGTTGCTCTAACCTTTTTACCAGCATTCCAGGTTCTAAACGCTCGTGACCAAAAACTGAGTAGTAGTAACCAAAAAATTGAATTAATTGTTTTTGGAGCTGAAACGGTGTTAAAGAATCTGAAGGTGAGTCTCAAATATTGGTATTCATTAAGCACAGAAAAATAAGTTTGTATCTTTCAGTATGTGATGTATGAGTAATTCATAATTTGTTGTTTTTAATAGATTTTGGCACACAATGAAGGGAGATCGTCCCTGTACACAGTGCATATGATCTTGATGTGATGTGATTATTACCATATTTAGGCATGGCATATGTTTTTCTCAAATAAAATATTTGTAGTCGAAAAAGGGTGTTATAGAGCAAAAATACCTTTAAACAAAAAATCTAAAAAAGATGCATAAAAATAAATACATAATAATAAATTCTACAGAACTTTAACATCGTTTGTGATAGCCTTATGAATGAAAGAAATAGATGATAATTGAAATGATGTTGAGTTAATAATATAAGATCAAATACATACTATAGCATAGCCTGAGATTATTAAACTTACTTGTTTTTTTCTGTTATACCCAATAATGTACCATGTTCAAACTAAAAATATAAAGTCTATAATTTTGTTATGGCCTGATTAATACAAGCATCAAAATCAGATTATTTAGTTCAATTTAGCAGAAGATTCTGAAAAGGAGTAGTATTGCATTTTTTAGCTCTCAATTAATATGCAAATTATTTGACCCTTAAGTTAACCCAATTTCCATAAATATCTTTTTTTTTTACAAAAACTAGTGATAAGCACCATAATGGATTTTCTTGCACTCCAGTAAATCTTGGATTTTGTTCATATTTTAGTATGTTGTTTGGACCCATGAGAAACGATCAGAAATAAAAAATGTTTGATCTAGGCCTCTTAATTTGTGAGATACGTGCTAACGTAGTTTGAGATAATTTGTGATACCTTTCACATGTAAACTGACCATATCTCGGTGTGTATAGCACCTATTTTGTTTGACGCCACAACGTCGTCTGAACAAGAAATGTAGAGTACTGTAATAATTTGACTATCCAAATCACAATGTTTTGATTCCAATCCCTAGTACTCTGGTCTGTTCCGACATGCAATTACCCAGGTATAACCTTTTCACTGCGGCAGGGTCTTCAGATTTGGGAATTGCAACAATTTAAACTCAATTTTTGTATCTTTATCAATTTGTTGGGTTTTTTTTTTTTTTTTTTTAACATATAAGGCAAGCTGTGTTTTTTATTAAGTCTGTATAGTCATCAACAATACTTATGGTAATATACTGATTTTTGTTTCTATTTACAGGTTTCATGGAATGACACATCACTAATTAACATAGCAGCACCTGCTGTGAAAGGGGCAGGCCATGTAGCCTACCAGGTACAGCTGGTAGAAACCACTCTTCCAATTGTCAAGGAAATCATAGTCAATGTTGAGTTCTACTCTCAGATTATCAACTTAGCTAAGGTTATTGGCATCAATGTTACACCAGCACCCAATGTGGAACCTGCAGCCAGAGGTAGGCATTTTTTATTTTTTTAATATCTTTGATTATCATTCATATCTTTGGTATCACATCCCCAACTTCACCAGTCTTTGTTTCTTGGTTTTTAGCTGTGGTTTAATGGCCATTATTTTTGTGTAACTTAATGGTTAAGATGTTTCCCTTTTAATCCCATGGTCCTAACTTCAAATTCAACTCTAGTGAAAGCAGGACTTTCCTCACAACTGAAAACAACTACACTCACTGTACTTTTTGCTGCAAATGAACAACAAAGTATGTCGATTGATGGCATCATTATTATTTTACTAACCAAATGTTTAAATTTGTAATCAAAGAATTGTATAAAAGTATTGTAACAAAACTGTAATTCATAGTTTTCAAATGCTGTTAAAAACTTTGTCCAAAGATAGCGATTAATAGGGCGGTGGTGACGCTTAGGATATTTTTTTATATTGGATTTTCATCATTATGAAATTTGCTGTAAAAAAAAAAAGAGTGCATTCTAAATTTTTTTTTTAATTTTCAATTTGTTTGCTAGTTAATGACCCAGCTGAGTGTTTTTGCTTAACGTTCTGGGAAGTGGGTCACAGAAAATTGCCTGAACATTATTTGTATTATAGGTTATTGTTGGCCAAAATGTACTAGTAGTACTTAGGATATTGATTATCAATTGCATCATAATTTTAAACTTGTACAGTATTTAGCCATACAGTTTTAAAAGATTCTACAATTTGTATCAATTGTTTTTTTGAATGAAAGATAAAAAAAGTCTATATTTTCCAAATATTAGCTCAGATTTTTTTTTTTTTTTTTTTTTGCTACATAAAAAAATTTGGGATTAAATATAATATTCTATAATCTGCTATAACTAAAAATTCGTTTATTGCAAGTTACTACAGAAAAAAAAGTAAGTTTATGATTACTTAAAGTCTCATTTAATTTTCAAAATAATGGTTGTGATGAAAAGGTAGATGTTTGGTAGATGAAAAGGTAGATTTTTGTTTTTACTTGCAAAATTATCAATAAATTTAAAAATTATATAATAATTCCATCCATCTGTTACCAAAAAATAAAAAATTTTCTTTTTATTTCAAAGCTTGACATTAGCAAACATTGATGTTTACATGCAAATCAAGTTTTGGCTAGCATATGGTATTATTTAAAAAACAAAATTAATTTTTGTTTATCAGATATTTGCATATCAAATATGTAAATCTGTTACTAAACCGGTAACAGAATGACGGCAACAGAATGACGGTAGAATTACAGGTTACAAATAATGGGACTGAAATGCATTAAATAAGGTCATTTCAAATAAGTGATCATTAACATTTCACACATGTTGTTAATTGCTAATAAACTACTGGCTATACTCATTCTTCCAGACTCCCACAGATACTGAGTATTTGTACTACATGTAGGTATTCTCTTGTCAATAAATCTTTACTATATTACAATTTACCTGAAACTCTTTTTCTCATAACCTTAATAAGCATCCAGTTTATTGCATAAACCTTTTAATTATTCATCATTGTTTGTACAATTCAGCACAACTGATCACAACCAACTTTTAATAGTAATATGATTGGCTAGATATGAACAGTGACATGGAAAAAGGTGGTGTTACATAATATCATGTAGATAGAATAATTAAACACCTCTGTTACAACCTCTAGCTGTCAACATGCTGTTATCCAATGCAGAGAAACAGAGAAAATACCGCGAAAGACTTAAGGAGAATGGCAAATATGATGAATACCGAATGAAAGATAATATGCTTACAAAGGAGAGGAGAAAGAACCTATCACATGCTGATTTGAAAAAAGTAAGAGCAGCTGAGAAAGAAAGTCAAAGAAAACTTAAATCTCGGGAAAAATTCAACGATGTTCCAGTCCCAAATACTCCAGTTTAATCATCAGCACAGAGCTTGGAAGTCACTGTGCGATTTCAACTGAAACTTTTGAGGCTGTTAAAGCACACTTCTGTCTGGACGATGTATCATTGCAAAGCCCAAACAGGAAAGATGTTACAATCGTCAAGAAGGATGGCACGAAAGAATACATCCAAAAGCGTTTTATGGTAATGACTGCGTGAATGCCATGCTCTCCACCTTCAGCAAAATCCATGTCATCCTGTAGTACTATCAAAATTTTGTTCTCTATGACCAGCCCATGTATGCCTGTCACAAGAATTCCCACACGCAGTCTGTGTATGCAAATACCATGAGAACATTAGATTACTTCTTGAATGTATCCACAAAGCTACATCAGCTGATGTCCCTACACATTTCCAACAGTTTATAGACACAGTACTATGTGACCAGTAGGATGAAGCTTGTATGTTTGGGAGATGTACCAATTGCAATTAAAAGTTTGATAATGTTTACTGCTTTCCTGATACAGATGTTAAATGGCTACAGTGAGCAACTGTGGAGGGCCGTGCAGCAAAGGTTGAACAATCAGGGACTCTCAAAGAGTGCATAAATGAACTGCCAAAGCTTCTAATACACACCTTTGTTAAGCAACAACAAAGTGAACATTTTGAAAAGGAAAAAACCATATCTAATGGTCAGCACATGGTAGTGCAGGTTGATTTTGCTGAGAACTTTTCGATCATTGAACAAAACGAAATTCAGAGCGCCTATTGGAGCCACCAACAGGTTACAATATTCACAGCGTGCGCGTTCATTGGTGATGGAAAGTGAAGTCATTTGCAGTAGTTAGAAGTTCCAACCATCTCATTCTTTTCTGACGGTGCCGCTAGTCAATTTAAGCATAAATATCTGTTAGAAAACATCACACATTTCAAGGATGATTACAACATTAATGTTACTTGGAATTTCTTTGCCACAAGCCACGGCAAAGGTGCTGTCATGGAGTTGGTGGGCAAATAAAACGCCTTGTCTACAGATCAATAAAGCTCGGAGCAGTTGTTACTGATGCTAAGTCGTTCAGTGAAGAAGCAAGAAGGCGAGCTACTCCATCAATGTCAAGTTCATCTCTGCACAAGAAATTTGTGACAACAACGATAAACTTGATGGTAGATAGACAAATGTCAACTCTTTGTCAAACACGCACACAACACACTTCATTGAAGTTGCAAAAATCATGTTGTGCATTACTCAACATATGCAACCTCGAATGCTGTAAAGCAGTTTGTGCTGTCCGGAGATCGTAATCTTGATGAGGATGCTTCATCAACATCAAATTCCTCAGCGTCCGAATCACCTAATGCTGAATGTCTTCCACAATGTGGTGATTTTGTATTAATTCAATACTTAGTAGGAACTAAGAACAGTAAAATCTTTTAGATATGTGGTACTAATTACAGAGATTCATAGTATGACACATTTGCATAAGAGTGATGATGTAGGCAAAATATTTTTTTGTCAAAGATGTAACAGATAAATTTGGTGTTATAGACCAGAACCATATAATCAGAATACTACCAGAACCATACATGGATAACCTTGAATGCTATCACTTTCATGATACCATCACTGATGCCAATTAAAGTTAAGCATTCAATATTATTCCATTTATTTTATTTACTGTGTTATTTTGTGTTTACTTGATTTTGTTTCAATATAAATTGTGAAATTAATCAATTTAGAAAGTCAGTTGGCATGCTTTATTGTATATTGATTGGTAAATACCCTTTGTATTTTTTTAGTACAATGTACTTATACACATCTAGATGTGTATAAGAGACAGGGCTAGATATGAACAGTGACATGGAAAAAGGTGGTGTTACATAATATCATGTAGATAGAATAATTAAACACCTCTGTTACAACCTCTAGCTGTCAACATGCTGTTATCCAATGCAGAGAAACAGAGAAAATACCTATAGATTTTGTCGTTTATTTACAATAACTGGTGTGTTCATAACTAAAGCTGTTTTGAATTTTGAATGAAAAGCATTTTTTGTTAATAAACAGCTAAGCAATTATATTTAATTTTGGAAGCTCAAAATTCACTGTCAAGTGACTAATCTAGATTTTGTCATTTATTTACAATAACTGATGTATTCATAACTACAGTAAAGCTGTTAAACGTTATTTTCAATGAATAGAATTTTTTTGTTGTTAATAAACAGCAAATATATTTCATTTTGTAAGCTGAAATTTCCTATTGTTACTTTGTTGAATCGGTATCTATATATTTACTTTCATTTCGGTAAAAATATTTTTTATTAATTTTTTGTTTTGTATAAAGAATAATTTATATTAATGCATTTGATATACTATTGTTTATTTTTCCTATTTTCTATTATGTTATTTGTTTTCCAAAATTCATTTATTATGATTATTACCAAATTCATGAATATAAACCTTTTATCCATCTGTTACCATCCATCTGTTACCATGCTTATAATAATAAAAATGTCATATCTTCATTTTCAAAATAAAACTATTACATTTATTGTTAAACCCTATACTTTCATTTTAATACCTTGAAAACAACATATATTCTCTAAATTCACCGACTTTTTATAGTATGTACAATGGTACAAATCTCTTGTCCATTTTCAGTAAATCTGTTACCATATATATTAATTATGAATATTTTGAAAACAGGAAGACTAAAAAATAAAGCTTGTAAAGCATTATATAATCCTGTGTTATAAAACTGTAAAACTTGTTTGAATTAATACAGTTGTAGGTGTTATACACCTTGAATATTGAAAATTGTGTGTGAATGTTAATCTGTTACCGTGGAATTGCCCTTTACCAGGATTAATGTCTATGAGTGCATAGAATGTTTAATTCTAATTATGTTTAATTTGTATTTATTATATAGTAGTTTCAATTGCATTTTATTATTGTTAATATTGTGATTCACTGTACAATTATGAAGGCCTTAAATGTTAAATAAGTTTAACAGTGAATAAAGTTATTATTATCATAAGTGTAATTTTTTTTTTTTTTGTTAACAGGTGATACCCTGGATACCATTCCATGGTGGGGTGGTGGTATATTTTATGGTTCAGTGATCCTCACCCCACTGCTATTGATTATTACCATGTGTATCATCGTAGTTAGTAAGTACTGTACCTATTTATTTCAATGTGTTTGCATCAAGAAAAACCTTACATGTTATCGTACTGAATCTCATATTTAAAAAAAAAAAGAAATGCAAGTGATACAGGTAGGAATTGAAGCCACAACCTTCAGATAACTAGCCTGATGTTGTAACTACTAGAATACAGAGCCGATAATTTTCTTTTTATCATCAAGTTTTTGTAATTATTGTGAATAATTTTGAAAAGCTGGCCTGGGTCCCCCTTGAACCTGCCAATGCTAGTTGTGCGCAAGTACCAAGCTCACAAATCTAGGACCACAATCCTACAAGGTACCCATTTATACACCTGGGTAGAGAATGTGCCTACCCAAAAACACAGGCAACTTGCACAGCGAGATTTTTGAACTCTCAAGTTTCTGAGCAAATGCCAAAACCAATCTATCAACTGCTATGTTGCTTTTTTGGTTAACTTTGTTTAAAAGAAAATATCTAATTATAATCCTAATTTCAATTTTTGTACTCATTTTCTCCAGCATTTACCGCCACGCAGCGGTCGACAGATTCACGTTCAGACAGCCACTTTTTGCACACGCCTCCACCTTCCTACTCCTCTCACACTGAAGGTAAATTTATTATTTATTCAATGCTTATCATTTATTAATACGTTATGAATTGCCATTCTATAGAGTCCCATAGCCCACACCTACAGTACTTATTCCTGTCCATAAACCTTTTGTACTTGCATTGCTAATTAAAAGTTTCTGGGCTTCCACACTGTTTTATTATAATAATAGTATCAATTTATTTTGCTAATTGTAGACCTATGCAGTTGAAGCAAATGATTAATTGTATGAGGTAGTCATAAATAATAGTCAATAATAGAATTAATGCATGTATATTTGAAAATATTTTTGAATATAATAGAAAAAAAAATATGAATAGAATAGCTGATAATAACCCTTTTAATTGAGTGACTGAGGAGGAGTCAAAGAGTAATAATTTACACATAAGTCATTACAGTGGGCTTGATGTTTCTCGTACTCTATCAAAATGGGTTTTTAATGTAAATGAATAGAGCACATATTTAACTTTATAATGAGAACTCAATAACCTTAATCGGACAATTATGTGTAAAGTTAAGCTATTTTAAATTATAATTATTTTCTATAAACTGGCCTATAAAGCAAAAGGACTTTAAAAGGACTGAAGAAATTGAAGAAAAATCACAGCAGCAGTCAAAGAAACTCCTTAGCAACAACACAGTTTCCATTGAGCTATTGCGATATAATTTTATACTGTTTGCTCAAAAAAGGAACAGAGATCTTCTATTTTTAAGTTGATACCCCTGGGGGTTAATTAGTGTTATCCCGGGGAAAATTGGTTATGCCATTATAAAGCTGAAGCATCTATGTACTTATTATGGCATTCCCGTTGTTCTGATGAATTTAATAGATATAAGAAGTGTTTTATTCGTCAAGCCTTGTTGGGTGGGGTTATGAGGTCTGGATTCTTTTTTTTTTTTATTTATAAACGTTTGAAAAATAAAACAGTTTCAGAATCAAGCAAGTGTTTACAAGTGAAATGATTAGGATTTCTATTGTTGCAATCTACAATGTGGCATTGGGAGGTGGTAAAGAATCTGTTTTGAACTACCGGTCCCATCATTAAAATACTGGTAGATCAAGTTAATTACTCTCTATCTTGGTTAAAATCTAAATATTTAAGATGTGTATAAGAGACAGAATCTATTTAAAATTAAAACAGAACAGTAGAGAAAATCCGATCAGAATGACAAAATAAACTAAGTATCCGCTGGAAGGAATCCCAATATCTGCAGACGGATCCGTTTCGGCCTTCCAGGCCTCATCAGTGCAGCTGGGGTATAGACCCAAACGAAACGTTTGACCAGCTTAGGTAGGGCCCAAACCAGTCCCATGACCACTAATGATTACAGAGCCAAACCAAGGCAATATATATATATATATACAGCCCAGGTGTGAATGCAAATAGTGGAATACAAGCTATGTGACTCGGTTCCAGTAGATACAGAGAATATTTTGTCATTTTTAACGCGTCCTACGAAATTCTTACGAGACAGCACTAGTCCGCGAATTTGTGAACAAGATCGGAGATCTAAAGATGCAATCTCAACCATGCATCAATGGCGGCCTGCTGGATCTAATAAAAGAGATTCTTTAATGAATATAAATAAATTTTAAAAGGCAAATGGGAAAAACCCATGATACAGCAAACGGCCACATAATGCAAAACTATTTAAAATTAAAACGGAACAGTAGAAAAAATCCGATCAGAATGACAAAATAAACTAAGTATCCGCTGGAAGGAATCCCAATATCTCTAGACGGATCCGTTTCGGCCTTCCAGGCCTCACCAGTGCAGCTGTGGTATGAACTCAAACGAAAAGTTTGACCAGCTTAGGTAGGGCCCAAACCAGTCCCACGACCACTAATGATTACAGAGCCAATATAAAGTAATTACTATTATTCATATTATCCATTCAAGTCAAATGTTGGAGAACTTTTTGGTTTATTAATTTGCTATATTGAATAATATAGATTGACAAGGCAGCCAGCCGACTGTGCTCATTCAATATAAATTTTCAATCATTCAAAATTATTATAAATTTGTTTTTAATATTTATTTCCACTGTTGTTATATCACCACTTACAGTGTACCGCTATATAATTAAAAAATATACTATAATAATGGTAAATAAAATTTACAAGGCAAGCAGAAGTACATACTGTGTAATTAGCAAAATTTAATTAGTCACAGTTTAGTTCTGGCTGAATAGATAAATGAAATAATACAATGCAATTAAAAAAAACTGAAGTTGAGTTTCCCTTCAGGGATTAGGGTAAGGTATTTAATAGTTAACAACTATAAACTTTTCCCCCACAGATTATCAGTTTAGCCCTACAAAAAGTGGCTCACCATATGCATCACCTTATGACACATACGGTACGTCTCCACGCCGCCGACCTCGCCAACAGCGTTCACCAACACTATGGAGTACAAGAGGTTACGAGCCGCAAGAAGGAATACCATTAGGCTCCCCAAATAACTGATGAGTGGGATAAAAATGATTTTTACTATTCCATTCTCTCATAAAACAAAAAAAATTCTTAAATTTCTTTATTTATTTCGTGTAGTGAAGCCACCTTTATTTTCCACATATGCAAACAAAAATCACAAATGTTAAAATGATAATGAAAAGTAATTACAATACACAACATTGATTCAGAATGGAGTCTTCTTTGCAGTTAACCAGGGAAATTATTTTCTCCTCTCTCTTTAATTTAATTCGACCCCTTTACTTCAAATGGTATGACCAAGTACTATTGTATTTAAAGCCTGTTTGCTGGTAGTTGAGATTTGTTACTTATTATCAGCAAATAAAATTATATAGCTTGAAGTATTGATAATAAGGGCATTCCACAGTGTTTTTTTTGTCACAGACATTACATTTTAGAGAATTTGAAAAAGAGAAAAAAATTAACAAAATGTACTAAAAACATCATGGAAGTATCAATAATTTTTGAATTTTTTTTTTTAGTTTCATATAATTCAATGTATCTATTTTCTGAAAATATCCAACTTAAAAAGTAAAAAATTTAAAAACTGAACAAGGCAACTAACAATGTATACAAATGCACAGTACTGTACATGAAACCTAATTAAACAAGCTAAAAAGGAATGCAAAAATACAGAAAACAAATATAAAGATAAACATTGTATGAAAAGTGAAAAGGGGAAACACATTGAGTATTGGACCTGAAAAACCACTAAAGTTACAAATAATTGGGGATAGGAGATTATGAGCAAACCAAACAATAATAATGCCAAATAATATTTAATCTCTTTTTAATTTAATTCAACCCGTTTACTTTAAATGTTATGATCAAGTATTATTTTACTTAAAGCCTGTTACCCATGGTACAGTAGTGGATGTTACTTATTGTCAGCAAATAAAATGATATAGCTTACAGTATTAATAATACAAGAGCAGTAGAGGGTTCAAAGGTTGTTATAATACAGCTCAGTTATTTACACAAAAACATGTATTATTCACAATCTAATATTTAATCACTTTAATTTAATTCACCCATTTTACTTTCAATGGAATGACCAAGTATTATTTTGAGTAGGGGGATGTGGGAGTAAAATAAACTGATTTAATCATACAGCATGTTTACGCCTTTTTCTATTTTCTATAAAGAGGGGAGATTAAATATTGTTTCGGATTGTGTTGTAGTTGGATATTTTTGGTTTTGCACACAGTAGCCCCAGTTGATAATGTGATTACATGAACAGATGATCTCTACAATCTGCCTGAACAAGCTTAAATGTGATATTGTGAATATAATGTTAAGCAATATTGATATTTGTGGGAAAAAAATTGTAAATTTACCCTTGCTTTCACTAATGTTTGATATGTGTTATAAACTGATTTATAGTTTTTTATTTTATTATTTTATTTTTTTATTTTTTTTTTTTATTTTGGTAATTGCGTGTGGTAAGTGTAAAATGCGTGTGATAAGTGTAAAAGTTTTTTAAAATACTACCAGAAAAATAGTGTTGATATTTTTTTTTTAATATTTAATGTGCACCTATGCAAATGTTGATAGACATAATAACTGTTGAAATTTACTGTAACTGTAAACGTTGTGTCCTTGGTTAATTTCATACCACATGCTGGCTAATTCAATTTGTGAATAATAATGTGTTTTATAAATGGTACATCATTGTTTTGATAAATACCAAAGACAATTATTGCCTATCGTTGCAGTACTATTGTATTTGTTTAGGGAGCTTTGATTTGTTCGACGACGCAACGCTAGAACGGAATCACTCATGCGTGACCGTCTTTCTCTACGTACCTACGTAAATACGTAAATTTGGCCAAATTGCGTCCTAGGATCCACGCGACAAGGAGAACCTAACGTTCTCCCTTGCGCAGATGACTTTTAGTGACGTCATTACGTTCTACGTCCTGTCCTACCGTCGTCGTGCAATCGAAAGCCATGTAGAATAGCACTTTATGTGTTCACAGTATTACACATGATTAAGGATTGCGACATGACGAATGTTAACATTCTTATCATGTGCATAGAATGAATCAGAAGGCCACTGATATTACACGATCAAACAGATGTTCCTCTGAGGTTTAGTGTCTGATTAAATGTTTGGGCCTTTGTTAAACGTATAGTCTCAAAATAAGCATTGGTTTGAGTACACTTATGAAATTGTAAAAAATTATTGATTAATTTATTTTTTCCCACCATTATTTTAATTGTGTATCATCATTTTGAAGGTACCTCGGATGCACATACATGGTTTATGTGTCTTGTTATGATGTATAATGCACTACGTTAATTATCGTATATACTAGGTTTAAAAAAAAATGTTTCGACTGCCATCCATTTTGTTTTTGTATGTTTATTAAATAATCGGACCAAACATCTTTTCGTCTCTCTCACAAACGACAGGGGGTGGGTACAGCACTCACAGAATTGGAAGGGAAGCTTTCTTACAACTTGTTGGTATGGGGAGAGGGGGTGGGAGGCAAAAGGGAGCTGGCGCCACCCCTGAGCTGATTTCTAAGTTTTGATTTCTGGTTCAAAAGGTATGGCACGAAGTAAAATATGAAGGTTTTAACATAATACCAACATTCATTTCTATACACAGATAATGTAAGTACTGTAAATGTTAGTTATACACAATGTGTGCATCTTAAGTTTATACTGTACGTAATAAAAACTTTTTTTCAAACTCTGCATTTCTATGTTATCAAATTATGCTTTCCTGCAGTAACATAAGCAACAGCGTGACTGTAACATTATATTAGGCACTCTCTAAATCCAAAATTTACAACTAGCAGACCTACATTATTCATCATAATTTGAATTCAAAACTCTGCTCAGCAAGGAAAGTAAAGTGACAAGGTTTTTTTTTTTTTTTTTTTTTTTCTATTACAAATATGACGAGACTAATTTGACTAATTCTGGGTTTCAAGTAGGCCTACATCGGGAAGTGTTTCGCTGACGAAACTGGTATCGTTGTAACCTAAAATCCATTGTGGTGCTGGTACTTCAGGTTATATCTGTCCATCATGTAAAAGCTTCTATCTATTTAATATTCGTCGGGACATTGATGTAGGCCTAAAGGCTACAATAATAAGTTTCTGCTTAGACATTTCGTCATAATGTACAGGTCACAAGCCTACGCAATCGGCGACGCGTGAAACTCGCGCATTCGGGATCTGTCTCGTGCTTAAGGGGGAAAAAACGCTGCATAAATGGTATATTGCCTATATTAAAAACTATCTGTAGGCCCAGGTCTTTACTATTTGTTACTATTTTACAGGCTGTTGCGAAGTTTCCCGCTAATTTGTATTATCTATTAGGTCGAAGTATCTAGGCCTACCTAACAACATAATTTATTCTGATCACGCACAAAGTTTTAAAAAGAAAGTATCATTATCACATGTTTTATAAATTGTATCGATGTTTCAAAATTTAAATGTTAATTTTTTCAAATGCTGTACTGTAATTAAATTTTTATCTGTGGGTTTTGATTGTATTGTTGGGAAGGCCTTTCCTATTAGCTAGCGCTATTTGGTCTCTCCTGGGTTATAGCAATTGGTCTTATTTCTGTGTTTCGAACTCTTTTTTCTTTGTTCTCATGTACTTTATGTTCTTCATGTATTGTTTGCCCGAACTATTATAAAATTATATATATACTGTCTCTTATACACATCTAGATGTGTATAAGAGACAGGCATACTGATCGTCCAATAATGGCCGTCTGTGTGGATAGTCATGATAGGATGAGACGGACTCATTGCGGAGGGAATAGTCCTTTATGTCTGTACCTAGGCCTAGTTGACTGCAAAGCTAAACTGCCTTAGTTTGGTCTTAGCTTTAGGTTTTTTTACTTTCAATGAATGACCTCTGGTTCGGGATGCAGATTCCAGAAAAAAAAAATCTTCCGTTCTGAGATTGTCAATTCCATTTGAGATTTTAAAGATCCCTATTGCAAGTTTATCAGCATCTTTCTCATATGAAGGACACCAAATAACGTTACCATATTCCAAGGATGGTCTTACAATTGTCTTGTACAATTTCACCAAGCCTTTTTCGTCCAGTTTGGAATTTGCTTTCTTGGCTAATTAGATACATGATTCGAGAATTTAAGTTTACTATCGAAGATCACACCCAAGTCATTTTCTTCATTAACACTTGGAATTTCTCTTCTACCATTGGTTCCTTCCATTGAATATGTAAACTGTAGATTCAACCTACCGAAATGGATAACCTTGCATTTTCCTTCATTAAAAGGAAGTTGCCATAATTTAGACCAATCTAAATTAGACTAAATCTTTTTGACAGTTTTATACAGTCTGAGTATCATCGGCAAAAAGTTTTAGCTGAGACAGTGTAACAACTGATGGTAGATCATTGATAAAGAAATTGAACAAAACTGGCCCAAAGACAATGCCCTGGGGAATCCCACTAATGACTTTGGTAGGCTCTGATAACTTTCCATTCAGCAAAACTTTTTTTGTGTACGTCCAGTTAAGTAGACCTTAATCCAATGTAGCAAATTACCACCGACACCATCGTTATCGTTGAAGTATAAACAGGCCTTAAGTCCTTTCTATGCGTTTCGCTCTGCCCGCTGTGAATCGTTAATATAATTCATGGGTAATACAAAGTTGATGTACATAGTGTGCTCATAAAAATACATTTCGCTAATCACATGCGTGCTGTATACACAGTGGCGAATCCAGAAATTCTAAATAGTGAGGCCCAGAGAGGAGATTTCAGAGATGGAGGATCTATGCTACCTCAAATTATGATTATGGCACCGCATGTCCGGAAATTGGCACTCATACACCAGTGGCGCCAACAGAGTTGCCAGATAGTCGACAGGCTTCACGGCCAAACACACGCCATCTCACGGCCAAATTCGGCCAAACTTTTTTTCAATATCGGCCAAAATTCGGTCAGATTTTAATCCGATTAGAAGACAGTTATGTGGGTACATATTCATTTGAAATACTGCAAAAATTACAGGAAAATCAGGGGCCGTTCGTTTGAAATTGAAGAAATTCAAATAATATTCACAGGACAATGTTAAACTTCTTTTAATTAATCTAATCACCATAAAAGACATGCCCAGCTACATCATAATATTAAATAACCTTATGCGTTTGGGCGATTTTTTTTTTCATCACTCCCCACCCCCTCCACCACCCTAAATCCGCTTCTGCTATTTAAAATCACATCATTAAGACTGATCTAAATTGATTTAAATGTATTACATATTAACGTATATTGTAGTCGATCTATAGCAAACATTTTAAGGTCCTGTTATTGGTCAATCCGTTTCTCTCTTTAATTAGAATGAATTAAGTTACATAGTTAGGTAACACAAACTGGCGTTAAAACAAACCTATGAAAACTTTAATAAATACTTTTTATCTAAACTTTCTAAATTCGCCTCTGAATGTTATTGTCGCAGTACTTAAAGCAATAAATCAATGTTGCTATCAGAATTATCTCCAGAGTCTCTGCAACACTTGCTTGAAATTGGAGGTGCCATCGGACCCGGATAAGCACATCGAGCATTTATATATGGCGCTATACATAAAGAACACTGCAGCACCTAGGGCTATACAATTCAAGTGGGCAATAATGAATCAATTAAGTACAGTATTTAATTTATATTCAAAAGAGATAGAACCTCCACTAGAATGGAACATATACAAAGACACACAGTATGGTACAAACTTGCATTGAACTTCATAAAAAATATGTATCATCCGAACAATTTAAATTATTAAATGTAACTTAACTTTTAAATAAACTCTCTTACCTCACATCAGTTAAAGGGGGAACATAGATTATGTGTTTAGTGCAAACAAAGGTACATGATTCAGGGGTGGATCCATGATTTGGAAGAGGGGGTTCAAAACGTTTCCAAAAATACCCAAAATGAAAGGGGTCCGGGGGTCCTCCCCATTGAAAATTTCCCCCTTGAATCCGCCACTGTATGGGGAATCCTTTAACGCTCAGGTAACCTAGGGTTTTAAAACAAATACCGTATATGCCTATACTCACGTATAAACGAGGTTTAAAATAGCAAACTACGATCGAAAAAAGGGGGTCGTATTATACGCACGACATTCAGATTTTAGATTTTTATATTCATGTTCGTCTTATGTGCGGATGTTCGTCTTATGTGCGGATCGTCCGTAAATCTGGTTTTCTACTAGGCGAATTTATTCACGCGAATCCAAAGCGTCGGCTTATGCACATGCGGATTCACATTCCTATCGGAGTTTTTGAGAAGCGAAAAAATGCAACCAATCAGAGCTCAGGATGCGAGCCGACTCTTCGATTCGCGCGAATAAATTCGCTTAGTCAAAAACCAGCTTAACACGCGAAGTTACTACTGCAATGAAGCTACTAAATGTTGTATCAATGAAAGCAATTTTAAATATGGGAAAATACGATTTTGGTGGTGAAGATTTAAAAACTCATAAAATGGTATTATTTGGAAGATTACCCTTTCGTTTGGCTCCATTTATCCAGCTAGACGCAGTATACAGGACCACAAAAAATTTGGAATTCCGACCATGAAACAGGGAGTCGTCTTATACGCCAGACATACAAATATCAACCAAAAATCTTCTAAAACTCGGAGGTCGTCTTATACACGGGTCACATTATAGGACCTACGCGAGTGTATACGGTATTATTACGGAACCCCTACGGAAGTTCGGGTTCCCGTCACATTTTAAACGGTTGGTTGTAACAATAAACTCGCAAGACTGCTCGCGACTACTCTCTTATACACATCTAGATGTGTATAAGAGACAGCCTCCATTACTGACTTAACACTCTACAACCAAAAAATAATTTCTTACAACAAAACTAATTTCTTCTAAATGTGTCATTCTTATAGCTTCTACTTAGCAGGCCTGAATTTAGTGATTAAAATTATGTATTTAAACAATTTTTGTGCAGTCGATTTAAAATTCAAGTATTACTCACCAACACTTCTTCCCGCAGTTGCCCTAAAGGTATCGCTAGACTATTGATTGCTTTGTCCATTCCAACCTGTATTTATGATAAGTAATAAAGTTAAGATTGTATTGAGTTATGCAAGCAGTGGCAGTCCCGCGGTACGGCATTAACGCTAAAAAATATCTAAAAGATATTTTGTGAAAAAAATTAAAGAATATTGAGAACAAACTATGGTCAAGTCATGTTGTCGTTTAGGGCCTATTAAGCATTTCATGAATCTATGATATATTATAATATTGACAACATCAATAGAACATATAGGTGGAATTGTGTCCAACCCGTCGTGAAAATGTACTGAATACTCAGTACATGTGAAAACACTTGCAAAAATAGTACTCGCTGCTTCCTTTGGCTCGAATTCAACCCTGGCCACCAGGTGCAAGCTCGGTGGTCTAAAGGCATGATGCCAGGCTAGCGATCTGGAGAATGTAGGTTGAGAAAGTCTGCTCTATTTTTTTTTTCAAATTATAAAACAAATGGGAAAAAAGGAAAATTCTAAAATTTATCTAAATGTGTCAGTTCCGGCCATCTAGAGGTGTCGCATAATCATACATTTTCTCGCTTTAGTCCCAACCACGGTGGGGCTGATGTGAGGTATCCTACATCTCTGTAAAAGTCCCTCCTCCCTGCTACCCCCATCACCCCACCTCTATTTAAAATTCCTGGATCAGCCACTGTAAATCTAGCTTCCGGAAATGACTTCTTGCAACTTACGACCCCCTGCTGGTTCTTAATTAATTGGTTTGAAGGGCCATTTTTTTAAAGTTGATCTCATGGGCCGATTTGTAATCTCTGGCAAGTTGAAAGCAATCGTTATCTGGGTAAAACTCTTCCCGCTAAGGTAAGTCTATTTGAGATTTTTTTCTTCTTTTTTTTCTGACAGTTTCAAAATTATTTATACTTTTAATACACCAGCAAATTTTGGTCGCGAGAAATTGTTGTGTGATGACGTGTCATTAGTCAACAGCCGTTAGTCAACTTTGGTGGGTTTCTCGGATGTAATTGATCACAATACAAAAACCTACCGTTTTCGAGTCAACCAAATTTTTGAAAAATACAAAACGTTTTCTGCATAATGTACCAGTATCGAATTCAAGGGGGTCCCCAGCCAAAAATCTTCAAAAAAAAAAAAAATTATACTCAAATTTTGAGCCTATAGCAAGGGTGGCACCGGAATTTGTTGGGGTCCGACATCCCCCTGAGTGGGGGGGAGGAAACCGATGTCCCCGACGAAAAATGGGCATGGTCGGGCGCCGCTCCCCCGACGAAAAAAGTGATCGTCGTCGGGCGCCGCTCAAGATCTCTTGATTATAAATAATATGAAAATTTAGGGGTTTCAAAGGCAATATATTTAATCGATTTTTGAATCTACTAATATGTAGAAAATACATGTCGATATAGGCTACATTTTATGTCTCCCCGACGAGGGGGGGGGGGTTTCCTGGTCCCCGGGCCCCCCGCTGGCGCCAGGGTTGCCATTTGGCCTTTTTGACGGCCAGATTCCTCAAATCTGGCCGTATAAAAATTTGCCTGGCCATAACGTTTGAAAAGTCACGGCCAAACTATATTTGGCCGAATTTTTGAATTTACATTTTTTTTTCAATACAGGTCTAATATAACAGACTTGTTTTGGATGTGTTGTTTTTGTTAGCTTAAATTCTATATTTGATTCTAATCACAGTGGCGGATCCAGGGGGTTCAGCCGGGGGGTGGGGTTCGTCCTCCCCCCTCTGTGAAGAAACGTAACAAAACACTATGGGTCCTGGCTATCAAAATTCATGCTAACTAGACGCGGATCCAGACCTTCGCCCACTTCGCCCAAGCGAAGGTCAGGGTGAGAATTCAAAATAATTTTTTTTCCAACAATCATACTTTCCTTGACACTTATTTTGAACATTATCATTAGAAAAATGTTTAAAAATCCACACTATCCTATACCTTACACTTTTAAACTGATTGTACTGTAGGCCCTACCAGAGAGAGAGGTACGGGACATTTCCAATACATTATGGTCTTCCACTTCTATAGCACATGATACAGTGCATAGCAAACGTTATGTAACCACTAATAATACTCAGGTCCAGTGGCGTAGGTATGGCATGAATACATTTTAGATTCAGTTCACTGCAAGTAGGTCGATGACTGTTCTATTATTGAATGGTAATTGTTATCATCGTGATGGAATAGACAATACGATTTGCGTCAGGAGAATCAATTAGGGCCTATATGTATTTTGCCCGACCTGTCGTGAAAATGTATTGAATACTCAGTGCGTGATTCACTAATACACTTTTTGAAATCATTTCTAAAGCAATAAAATATCGTCACGCACATTTGTATTTGTGGTATTTTAAAGTTGGTTCAACTATTATTGTGTACGTTTTTAAACACTTCAGATCATCATAACTTCATGAATACATTTTAGATTCACTTCACTGCAAGTAGGTCGATGGCTGTTCTATTATTGAATGGTAATTGTTATTATCGTGATGGAATATACAATACCTGGATTTGCGCCAGGAGAATCAATTAGGGGGCCTATATGTGTAATTTTTCCCAACCTGTCGTGAAAATGTACTGAATACTCAGTGCGTGTGCAATTAGACTTGGGACTCCTGAACCGTGGATCTAATACCGTGGTGTGACTCGGCCATGTAATCGAACACAAAGCCAATGCCGCCTGTTTCAATTATTATCGATTACCAGTACTAATTACAACAGGTGTGCCAAACAACATTGAAAGCTGAGGGATTTCATAACTGGTTTCAAACGTTGACGTTATTAGGAAAGCAGAAATCTAACTAAAGTGTTTGCGTACATGATGAACTGAGATAATGATTATTCAGGTTTAAGGTGAGTTAGGCCTATGTAGTTTAATACTTAAATGGATTAAGCCCTATTGCTACTAAACTTGGCAAACGAGTTTAATTGATAGTTTAAAGCTGAGGGTTTTCATAACTAGTTTTAAACGCTGTTATCAGGAAGGCAGAAATCTAACAAAAGTGTTTGCGTACATGATGAACCGAGATATGATTATTCAGGTTCAAGGTGAGAGGCCAATATGCTGGTAGGCTGTTTCTGTAGTTATATACGGTATGCTCTCCATAGGCCTGGAATCATGTTATTATCTTTTAGATTATAGAATTATGTATTCAATAAAATCAAAATAAGATCAAAGTCAATTTCGCTCCTGGAACTTACAGTTTAAATGATAGTTACACCATGGAATATTTACTAATTTAGGTATTCACAATTTCTGTCCACGGTCAAACAGTGGCGGCGATAAGGGGCTACAGCCCTCCCCCACCCCCTCCTGGTCAGGTAGAAAAACCACAATTCGTCGGGGAGAAAAATATTATATGTATTTTCTATATTATTAATAGACTAAAATCAATTAAATAAGCCTTTGAAACCCCTAAATTGTCATTATTGGGGGATTCGCCACTGACCACTTTTCTAAAAGATTTTGAGGCACGACCTACCACGCCCACTTTGTTCTCGTCGGGGACATCTACACCCGCACCCCTCTCCCCCGGTGGGGACCTTTGACACTTGGGCAAATCCTGGCGCCGCCCCTGCGGTCAAACGCATAATCCACGACTACAATATGATTTTAGGTCTGTAACCTTGCAGCGACAGTATGCATAAATATACTGGTAACATAGGCCTACAATTATGATGCCAGTGATAAACAGTAGTGTTTTGTCACAAGCATATCAGGCTGGGTCAGTGTCCATTTGCTCTGAAGTTTGCAATACAGGTATGTTTTATTATTTAATTTATCTGTGATATCAACTACATTTTGTCTAGACCGGCCTATCTAGATCTATTGGAATCGTTGGAATTTAAAATTTTATTCAAAATATGTTGTTAACCATCTGTGTCATTATCATATCCTCATATGTGAAAGTTATTGTTGACTCATATAATTTATGTTAGGCCTATTATTATTTTACACTATAAAGCTACTAGATACGATAACGACAAGACAACGACATATGGCGTAGTTTGTATTCTTCAACACTGCGTGTATCTGTATCGTGTCGTTGTGTCTAAATCGTGTCTAGGGTAAATGTAGCTTAAACCCGACATAAATGACTTCTCAAATGAACGTAGCAGTGGTGGCGCAAGGATTCTCCGACGAGGTCCGAGGTCCCCGATCGGGGGTGGGAAAGGGGGTGGTCGATTCCCCACGACGAGGGGGAAGATTTCCTAGAGGAAAGAAAAGTGGGCGTGATCGAGCGTCGCTTAAAACAGTGGTTCCCAACCTTTTTGCGTTCGCGGAGTTAACAGATAAACCGAACTATCATCTCAAGACGCTACCAAAGTGCATAAAAAATGAGAAAACTATGCTTACTTAAGAAATATAAGCTACAACATTTCACTATTTTGATTTAGATATTCTTGAATGATAAATTAAATTGATAAAGGTGGGGAGGGGGTGGTAGTGGTGAGAATCACCAAGGTTGATCTAATATTATCTGGACAATAATTGAAAAGTCTGCTAGAGTGAATATTGTGAATACTTATATTTATACATTAGTTTACTCTAAACTTTAGAGAATTTGGATGTCTACGGTTAACAGAATTATCTGGCAGATTAACATGAATTGTAAAGCCCTTTAACAATAAAAATAAGATGTAAAAACATAATGCAAGAATAAAAAGATAAAATGTTAAAGTACTTGAGTGTGTCTGAATAAGAAGGAAGGGCACTCCAATATTAATGAAGGATCTGGTGAATCACAAAAGGTATTTTCGATGACGCATGGCTGGTAATATGCCTTACTTGGTTTGAATTTGTTTGAGTTAAGTTGCATTTTGTTTTCCTGACTCAGGTCGGCAACAAAAATGTTTAACAAAATAGGGCGAAATACCAAACCCTGAGTGGCTCCTAACAATACAGGAGCCCAAACTGAATTCGAACGCTTAAACTGGACTCGGATATCTACGTTCCAAGTAGCAAAGTCGGTTTCGTTTTGTGCAATATAGTTCTTTTCCACGGTGTTCTGATGATAATTTCTTACGTTTCATTCAAATATCAATGATTTCCCCTGTAGTATCGACCATCGCATCGTAATGTTTCTCAAAGACTGCTGGTTTTTCCCATGGTGAATCTGTTTTTTTTTTTTTTCACACAAACTCTGTTTCTATTTCTAATGTTTTGCTCCTCTATCGTAATAGCTCTCCTGTTTATTTTGCTTGTTTTGAAATTTCTTTTGACATTTGGTAGAATGTTTACAATGTATATACATGCAGTATATCGAGTTTTTTTCCCTGCTTTTACGACAGGTAGATTTTTTATACTCAACGCATCTTTTATATTACCATTTTTTCTACTTAACTACTTCTTCAATAGTTTGCATGGATAATGTTCACATGTGCTATCGCTTCATTAAGATCTTTTGCATCAACATCTTCTATATACTGCTCTCTACTGTTCTCGTACATTATTTTTGTCCGTTTTAATTTCATTGTACTAACCAAATGAGTTGGGTTATTACTCGAAGTTTTTCATTCTTCGTACCTTTCTTTTAACCTTGTTTAATTTTTGACATAGAAATGTTGCTCACCATCAGTACATACTAAGCACCCTTTACATACATCATACTTATTTATCCTATCTTGGTAAGTGTTAGACTGCAACGTTTCTATCCGTTTAATTAAACCTAGACTATGACAACCTTCAAGCCATAATTTGCTATAAATTTTTATTTATTATCGGAAATTCTACATCACAATATCTTTATGTTCACAAAAAGTGTTACCGGTCGGTTTGATTCTTTGTACTGAAAGGGTACCCAATCTTGCATTTGTCTTATAATAACTTTAGCATTTAACTGATGTGTTGTTATTTATGAAATTACATTTCATTCAGCACCAGCAGTTTTAACTCAGCTATGTTTTGTTTACATTTATTATGAAACTTTATCTTTACTGTCCACTCTTATTTGTTATGCTCATTTTGTACAACATCCATGAAAGAATTCATTACTTGACTCTTATTTATCACTATCATCATTTACTTCATCCAGTTTATTTTTTTTTCTTTGATGATGACTAATAATTTGTAATATACTTGTTTTTGCCAAATGAGTTACCAGAAGCGTTACGTGATTTTTCATAAGCTGGACAGATTCGCTTAACGGTACATGATTGTAACCACATTGTCTACATTGTTAATGGTAAAGGCCTACCACTCTTTATGCTTATAATTTGCTTTTGTATTGTACCTATTTCATTTGATACAGTAGTCGTACTGCTAGTGTTTAATTTCATGCAATCTAGTTTTTAACTAGCTTCAGCTGCATGACATATATTTTAATAGCCTTTTGTAATGTTAACTCACTTTCTCAAAGCAGTCTATCTCTAATATAACTTTGTCCCTTCGAATTCCAACCATGTACCACAGTCCTCTCCTTTCAAACTGTCACGGAGCATAAATTCACATGACTTAGCTTTGCATCTTAAATCAGTGACAAACCGATCTACATTTTGTTTTCTTCTTTTTTTTTCGTTAAAGGCGCATTATATATATATATTTACAATACCACTATGCTCATTACTACATTGGACAATGTTATTCGACCAACATATGCGGCTAATGTTTAATTGTTGTTGGTTAAGATACTAATGCATGAATGCTATTTGAGGGACAAATTGTACTCTATACCTGTTTTAATGCAAAGGTGAACACAAGTACAATAGTTTAATGTTGAACTGAAAAGAGACAACGACTGTAACACATCTTAATATTTATGCAAGCATCGTAATATAATATAGGCCTAATGTGACATGGAGGCCTACTGTTTTACTGGTACGTCGGGGATCAGTTTAAAATATTTTTTCACCATCAATCCATTTCCTGATCTGCTTCATTGCAAATAGGATGACGCCGTGACATTGGCGTTGGCTGACTATATATATTGGTGTTATAATTTATTCTTTATATATAATAAATGTAACAATAGAAATATATTATGATAAGGAATTTAAAAAAATAAAAGTTCCTTTGTAATATGTTGTTAAAATGCATAAGCATAGATCAAGTCAATCAACTACGACTGTATTATATACACTGTGTTATATTTTGTTTTTCAGAAGAACAGAGACGGTAATAGTCAGAAGTTGGCATTATGGAAGTACTAAGCGAGTGTTTTACAAACATCAACAGAAGGAAGAAAGTAGATAATAGTGAACCATCAGAAACCTTAGATGTGTATAAGAGACAGAGGTATTTTCGATGACGCATGGCTGGTAATATGCCTTACTTGGTTTGAATTTGTTTTAGTTAAGTTGCATTTTATTTTCTTGACTCAGGTCGGCAACAAAAATGTTTAACAAAATAGGGCGAAATACCAAACCCTGAGTGGCTCCTAACAATACAGGAGCCCAAACTGAATTCGCACGCTTAAACTGGACTCGGATATCTACGTTCCAAGTAGCAAAGCCGGTTTCGTTTTGTGCAATATAGTTCTTTTCCACGGTGTTCTGATGATAATTTCTTACGTTTCATTCAAATATCAATGATTTCCCCTGTAGTATCGACCATCGCATCGTAATGTTTCTCAAAGACTGCTGGTTTTTCCCATGGTGAATCGGTTTTTTTTCACACAAACTCTGTTTCTATTTCTAATGTTGACGCCGTGACATTGGTGTTGGCTGACTATATATATTTGTGTTATAATTTATTATTTATATATAATAAATGTAACAATAGAAATATATTATGTAAGGAATTTCAAAAAATAAAAGGTCCTTTGTAATATATTGTTCAAACGCATAAGCATAGATCAAGTCAAGCAACTACGGCTGTATTATATACACTGTGTTATATTTTTTTTTTCAGAAGAACAGAGACGGTAATAGTCAGGAGTTGGCATTATGGAAGTACTAAGCGAGTGTTTTACAAACATCAACAGAAGGAAGAAAATAGATAATAGTGAACCATCAGAAACCTTTCAACGTTGCCTCAGTGTTGTTGACCTAACCTATATAGGTCTAGGTTCCATGATTGGGACAGGACTGTTTGTTGTCGGAGGGGAAGTAGCAAAATCGATAGCAGGCCCAGCTGTCGTGATATCTTTCTTATTTGGGGCATGTGCAGCTCTGTTGTCGGCGTTTTGCTACGCAGAGTTCAGTTCGCAAGTAGCTAGAACCGGGTCAGCTTATATATACACCTACGTCAGTATCGGTGAGATTTGGGCGTTCGCTATCGGTTGGAATATGGTACTTGAATATATTTCCATGATATCGAGCGTGGCACGTGCAATAAGTGCTACTGTAGATTCTGTGATGGATTTCAAAATTAAGAATGCAACAATTGAGTATATTTTGAACGGCAATAGATGGGAATCGCCTATTTTTGAGGAGTATCCAGATCTTCTTGCGGGAACATTTGTCGTCATTGTGGTACTACTCGTATCGTTAGGTACAAAACTATCATCAGCTGTTACAATGATTTGTATAAATGTGTTGTTTATTATTCTTTTTATGATAGCGGTGATATCTTTTGTTTATGGAGATATTGCAAATTTGACAAGCGAAGGTGGATACTTTCCCTATGGCATTGGAGGAGTTTTAGAAGGAGCTGCTGTATGCTTTGTAACGTACAGTGGATTCGAAGTTATATGCATATCTAGTGAAGAATGTACCACCCCGAAAAAAAGTATTCCTATCGCATTAGGTGCAGCGTTGGGAATCGTCTCGTTGACGTACATAATTGTGTCTGGTTCGTTAACTTACTTGGTCCCCTATGGTGACATAGTACCAGAAGCCGCTTTCTCTACTGCTTTCATGGAACATGGTTTAGCGTGGATGGCTTATATTGTTACAGTTGCAATTATTCTTGCCGGATTTTCTACCCTTATAACCGCTCTCTACTTCTTAGCACGACTAATTTACGCACTCTCAATTGACGGCCTTTTCTTTAAGACATTCTCAGCTGTGAATGCAACTACGCAAGTCCCGGTGAAAGCTACTATCACTTTTGGAGCTATATGTACTTTACTTTCAATCTTTTTAAAATATGACGTACTGGTGACGTTCCTGTCGATTGGTACTCTTTGTGCCTATACTATAATGTCCGGAGCAGTAATCGTCCTCCGCTATCGCCCCAAATCAGAAAGTATTTCTCATTATGGGCATATTGATGCAAGCTCTGACGGAATGACGCTTTACACTCATACAAATAATTCTGTGCACCTAGACACAGACGAGGAAGAAAGTATTGATGGGGTTAGAGTTCCTGACAAAACAGGAACATTAAGGACGCAATTTGCAGGACTTTCTGTATTTAGTGGATATAAACCAGGAGTTGTGGTACCATTCGCACTGTTGGGATTTGTATTTTTCTCAGTAATAGGAATGTTGATCTTAAACAATGTGTCCGATTTACTGTCATCAGTAGGACTGACTTTGGTAGTAATCATTCTGTTCATCTTAAGTTTAGGATCGTTTGCGATTATTCCATTACATAAACATTCGGTTGACACTGGACATATTCAGGTAGGCTTAGTAGCGGTTAGGTATTTATTCTTATCTTTACGTGGTATAGGATACCGAGTTACTTTTTGCGTATGTCAAACTGGCCTATGTCGTCTATGCATAAGTGAATAATCGACAAGTCGAATTATCTTTCGTGCCACTTTCTTTTTCATTATACTTTCAGTGATAAGTAATTCGTGAGTTTTATAACTTTATTAACGTCGAGTTGAGTGGCCGAGTGGTAAAACAGGGGGCCCGCTAGCTACAGCATTATATCGGCGCTGGTTCCAGCCGCTTCTCGCCCATGGTTCGGTTGGTAGAACCGAGTTTTCTCGGATAAGGTCTTACATTGGAGGTCCAGTGTATACATCTGGCACATGTGCACTTTAGAATCCATTGCATCTTTCGGAAGAGTAGGGGGTTACCCCGATGTTATGGTTCATTTCAGCCCCTGTCGTTGTGGAATGATGTGAACATATATATACCAATGGCCACATATTGGGCAAGAAGCGCCTCTTTTCGGCTACTAGGTAGTCACGGACCACGCCCATACGCAATTCAGCAAAATGACGCTGCAAGTTATGGGTTATTCTCCTACATTTAACTTCACCTTAACGTTAAATTAATTCTTAAATTTTTAAACCGTCTTTTAACTGAAGAATACTGGTTTGTATACAGTATCTTTGTTGCTCGTAAGTTTTAAAGTCAAGGCCAGTTGAGTTTCCAAATTGTTGGATAATGAAGTTTTATTGAAATGAAATAAATCACAGGGTAACCCAAGAAAGTTTTAAAATTATAGTGAACACTATTTAAATAGCAAGATCGTATTTTCTATTTGAGGCACATATAAAATGAACCTACTAGCTACATTTCTAAGTCGAACAATTTGTCACAGTCGCTTTGTAATGATTTGGTTAGATATACGTAAGTAATCCAAAATTGAAATTTCTGTACCCGCTGAAAAATCTATATTGTGTTATTTATAGAAACTCAAATTTGGATTATTTGCGTATGCGTTTAATTTTAAAACTTTCTTGGGTTACCCTGTGATTTATTTCAATTCAATAAACACACAGAAATTTTAAACAAAGAGTACAAAAAACTTGGAAACTATACAGTTCGCCCATTCGATATCACCCTTGGGACCTGAACATTTAGGGTGGTCTCAGGGTTCGATCTCCACATAGAGTTGCCTTTGGAGCAAACATGCGACCTGTAGCTGTCAAAGCGGGCGTCACAACCATTATTAGACCATGCCACGGAGGCTTCATGGTTGAAAAAATTCTCTTTGAAAAGTGGTCTCGAATTGGGTGGGTTGCGATTCAGTCGATATATATATA